TCCAGTTGAAGGTTTGCCTTTGAACTTTTGTGATAATTTTAATATACAGGTACATTTAATATTTGCTGTCAAATCTAAGAACTGTTCCTATTTTTGATGTCTTTTATTTTATGGTTGGGAAATCTTTGGTTGTCCTGACTCAGGAAGTATTCCTCATATTTTCTTTTTAAAATAGCCTTGATTTTTTTTAGCATTGAACTCTTTAATCACTTGGAAGTAAAATCTGTCTTAATGATATTAGTTCCTTCTGCCTTTTTAATATTATTATTAAATAATCTTACCTTTTCCTACTGTCACATAAGGCTTCCTCATAGGTTGTTATCAAATATTAGATCTGTTGGGACTTTTCTCTCCTGTTACACTGTTGGGAATTCTTATGCCAGCACCATACTATTTCCAGTGTTTTTTTTATTACTTGTTACTGTCTTTGATTGTTTAATCAATCTTACATTCTTACATCTGGTGGACTGAGCAACTTCGTTGAAGATAACAGTATGTAATGTAGCAACCATTGTTAATTTGCATCGTTTTTTTTGAGGCCATGTATCATTTTTGTTGTTTTTGTGTTGTTTTGATTTTGTCTTCCTTGTTGTTTTATAGTTTTTTTATCTTTAAAATAAAAAAAGTCACTTTGCAATATTTTTAAGAAATGGCAGCCCCAAACCCTTTTAAGCTCATTATTTTTTCTTTTCCAAATACTGTCAATGAGCATTTTTTACTATTCTTTGAGAAGAACTTTAACATTACAGTCAGATGCTTTGCAGAAAGAAATCCCATTGAGATCCTTTTGATTGGAACTGCATGAGATTACTAAATACGTTTTTGTAATACGTGCTTTTTGACAGCAGGAACTCAGTACTGCTTTGACTGGGACTATGTGTTGGTTTGGGGTTTTTGCTAGGGGAATAATATAATACAGAACACATATTTTATAAGATTATTTATAATAGTCACCCAAAGAATCATATATGAGAGAGTGCAGGAAGTCTGTCCACACACTGAAGACCAAAGAATCCAGCCGAGGGCCTGGATCCCATGATAATGTCCTGCATGAGTTCAGCTGAAGACCGAGAACCCATAACAATGCCTCCCACAAGTCCAGCTGGAGGCCTAGAGCCCATGACAATGTCTCATGCAGGCCTATTTCACGGATCTGCTCTGGGATGGCCCAAAGGTCAGTGGTGGAATCTAGAAAGTCTGTGCCAGCAGGATGAAGGGTCTGTGCTAGCAGGCTGAAGGATCTGCACTGGAGCCAGGAAGCAACGCTCAAAACAAGAATCAGAGCTCTCTCGGAAAGTACTACAGCCACAGTGAGGTCCTGAGCCCCTCTGATGATCAGGACAGCTGGGTTCCCATCAGGAAAGCCAATGCAACAAGCTTCTCTAGGAGACTGAGCCGTGCACCATGTTCCCCTCCAGAGCCAGAAAGCAACGCTCAGAGTGAGGACCAGAGCTCCCACAAAGTGAACCGAAACCATTCTCAGTGCCAGCAGGGTCCCGAGCTCCTTGGAAGATGAGAACAGCTGAGTTTATCAGGAAAGCCAGCATGAGAAGCTCTTCCAAGAGAACTAACAACTCCTTACAGCTTCTCTCAGCTTCCAACAGGTTCCAAACAGCTTCTGCCAGCTCCCAGCAGCCTCTCTTCTTCTCCAGTTCTGCCTTACGCTGCTGGCAACAATCCTCAGGCGGGCCTTCCATACCCAGCACCACGCTGATTCAGTTCAGCTGGGTGTTACAAGTTGACCACCAGTTGTCAATCCACCACAGACTTTTTATATATCTCAGAAATGGGGCTGATTTACACCTACACATCCCCAATTAATATCTTCTGGTGTTTTCAATTTTGCTGCTCTTGTGAATAGACCTTTTTTCCTTTACATTTTTTCACAGGATATCAGTAGTATGTAAGGTAGCTACAGAGTTTTACATTTTTGTTTATAGCTGGTCATTTGACTAAAAGAAAAGTTACCCTGTCATCTTTCAGTGATTCTCCTAGGTCTTCTAGATAGATATCTGTATTCTTATATTCTTGATAACTTCATCTCCTCTTATAGTTCATATTTGATTGTACCATGAAGTAACCATATATCAAGCTTCTAATTTTAATGGGATTAGCTTTGTTATTTCACCTTAAAACAGCCCATTTCTGGGAATGTGGGCACACGTTTATAATCCCAGCTATTTGGGAGGCTGAGGCAGGGGTATCAAAAGATCAAAGCTAGCCTAGGCAAATTAGTAGACCCTTGTCTCAAAATTGGAATGGAATGAATGGCATGAAATGGGCTAGCCTAGGCTGGGGATGTAGCCAAACACACTCCCTGGTTTCAATCCCCAGTCCTTGGCAGGGGGTGGGGGGGCATTACTAGCTGTTGGTTAAGTATTTTATAAATTAATCACATTAAGAAATTATTTTTTTTTTTTTGAGACAGGGTCTTGCTGTGTAGCCCAGACTGCCCTCAAACTCAAAATCCTTGTGCCTCAGTCTTCCAAATGCTAGGATTACATGCATGCACCACCAAATTATTACTAATTTTGAAAGGTTTTTAAAATGTTCATAGAGCCAAGTGTGGTGGCGCACGCCTGTAATCCCAGCACTCAGAAGACTGAGGCAGGAGGATTGCCATGAGTTCAAAGCCACCCACAGCTACATAGTGAGTTGAAGGGCAGCCTGAACTGCATATGGATGCCTTGTCTCAAAAATAAATAAATAATAAAACATTTGTAGAAAAGAAAGGGCTCCATAGTTGAGTAATTTTGGAAAATTCTGTGTTCTATTAGCCGCCCACTCATAAAGACTTACAATAATACTTCTTTATTAAAGAGTTTGCAACCTAAAGAAAGTCTGCTGTCAGGTTCATAAATTACAAGTCATAACATCAAAAACACTCAATAAGTATTCATTGCATGAGTGAACAAAAGACTTGGGAAATGCCCAGGAGTGCAAGAAACTACTTTGAGTTCAAAAACTTCCTCTCGCTTTCTTTACCCTCCTTCTGCACAGCGTGGGCGAGGAGTAGAGGGGTGGCCCTCAGGTAGGCAGCAGTGGCCTCCAGCACAGCTCAGCCCCGAGTGGTCTGAATTCCATTCATAGCTGGAAAAATAGTCGGAGATGTGAGACTTCACCCCCGCCCCCAAATTTCAGGTTTTTGGTTTAACAGGCTGAGGTCCATTCCTTCAGTGGGCACAGCAGTTTCATAGATAAGATCTGACAGCCGGTTCTGGAGATAATAGGTCAATGATTTAACCAGAGCAAAATGAAACTTAGATTTCACACTTGAGGAAGATAGAGTTTTAAAATGGGGAGGGGGCAAAAGCCAAAATTAAATAAATAAAATGGAAGTAAAGAGTAACAATGGCTTAATATATTGCGTATTGTTATCTTCAAAGTAGTTGCTCAGAATACAAGATATAGACATGAAAAATTGACCAAACAATATTAGCACAAAGCTCTCCTATTATCTTGTTTTGAAATTTTGTTTCTTTGTGTTTGTCTTTTCTCTTTATAATATAAAAATTTAAAATTTAATAAATAAATAAATGGAAATTAAGATCTACCTAGTTTTTCAATAATTCAAAGATTACATTTTTAAAGTAGGTGAGCTGTTTGTTCCAGGATGTCTATCTCAGCATTATTTACAATAGCAAGAAATGGAAGCTATTTATTTTTGGTTATAGGATTAAACCCAAGGCCTCATACACATTAAGTATGTTCTCTTTCGCTCAGCTACACCTCCAGCCCAGGAAATGGAAGCTATTTAAATGCCTAACCAGAAATGGCACACTAAAATGATAATATTAGGCTGGATGTGGTGGTACACACCTGTTACCCCAGTACTTTGAAGGCTTGAGACAGGAGGATCATAAGCTTAAGCCCAGCCTAGGGAACTTAGCAAGACCCTCTCTCAAAAACTAGAAATTAAAAAGGGACTGGGGATATAGCTCTGGTGAAGGCCCTGGGTTCAATCCCCAATACCTTCAAATAAAATAAAATAAAATTCACGTTAGAGTAGTAAGCAGCCATTAAAAGTCATATTTTCAAAGAATTTTAATGGCACAAGAAAAAATTAGTGATGAAAAATCTAGATGTAAATTGTTTAAACACTGCAATTTTATAAAGAAAAATTATATTCATAGAAGACTGGATGGGAACCTATCAAAGTATGAGAAGCCATCATTACCCTCATGCAAGTTATTTAAGTGGTTATTAGCAGTGTTCCCGCTAAGCTGAGGATAAAATAGCTGCTCCAGTAACACAATGACAAGGGACACAATGACAAGATGAATGCATGAAATGCATATAAACCTTACAGCGCAGTTTCAGAACAACCTGGTGTTTGGCAGTATCTGGAAGCGTCGTGATGGAGGTATGCGTTTACTAGGAAGTAAGTGTGTGTTCTAGACCATTTTGATTTTGGCAACGGTAAGTGTTCAACTCTTCTCCCAGTTCCATATCTTGGTAGTAAGCATGAAGATACTTTAAGTGGTGGGAAGTGCTTTAAAAAAAACCATTTCCTGGTTCAGGATAAATCAGAAGAAAGGACTGACCTTTTGTCTTCTGTCCCTCCCCTATTGAAACAGTGGCTCAGATAAGTATTATCAATAACAATACATTATGTGTAACATCCCAACACTTATCTTAAAGTGAAATGTGTTTTTAAACTCAGTCACAATTTAAAAATAAACAGTACTTTGCCACTGAGCTCATACAAGTTGTACTTCCTCTTAAGTTTCTTAATACTCAACTAAGGTTGACTATTAACCCTAATAATACTAAAGGACTAAAGCGATGTTAGGGTTAGTTTAACGCTCTTTTTAAAAAGTTTCTAGTAAGCGATAAGTTGAACCCCAAATTCTGCATAGACCCCTGTGTACACATGTGTTTTTTTTAAAATCCTGTTTACCACGACAAGCCATTTCTCCAGGTTTTGGTTTGAGGATGTTGAAATAATGCTTAAACAACACCAAATATGTACATGTCATGTTATTTTTTAGAGTACTTACTTATTGCTTAGCTACTGAACGTTCTTCCATTTGTATTCTTGTTAGGATTCACACAACACATTCCTGTGTGTGCTCCTGCTGGAGGCCGCCTCGGCCTCTCATGGACTAAGTTAGCGGCCTCATAGGACTAGTAAGAAATTCTGTCTTCTAATGAACCACCCATTGAGATTGGGTCTTGGTTTCCTCACCTGTAAAATAAGGATGAAAATAGAACGTACCCATAAGATAGGATGAAATGAGGTTATTCATATAAGCATTAGCAAACAGTGAGCCCTCAAATGCTAGGTGTAGTGCATAACCTATTCTAAGCACACGAGTGATAATGAAAACCCAAAGAGAATGTGTGATGAACACCAAAACAAAATAAGCAGCTGGAATTTGGGGTGCCTGTCATTGAACCCTGTCCCTCAGAGTGGTACTTTTGTTTTTTAGTCCTTCTTAAGTCCACCTTTGAGAAAATGGTGCTTGAGTTCCTTGAGGGACTTTTCATTGTCCTGAGATTTGTTTCTTCCTCTTGTCACAAATATTATCTTTTCTGCAAAGCTTAAAAGTTTTCTCTTCAACCGAAGCAATAGAAGAAAAGCCACTGTGTTCATACACCCTCGGGTCAGATCAGCTTCTGGAGACAGGCTGAGCATGGGTGAGGCTGGACTGGGTCCTGCGGACCAGGAGAGCTCGGGTCTCCCAGCAACCCTGTGCTTCCGCCAGCTGCTGCGAATCCAAATGCCTGTGCCTTTTCATGTTGATGGCTTGGCTCAAGACCCTGGGAGCAGTCACCACTGGAATTGGCAGGCTTCTCTGAGAACACAGGAAAGGGGGCAAGGTGGCGCCAAGGACGAAAGTCATGCCTGTGCTGCACAGGAAGCCTATAGCGCGGGCTGCTCTGCTCGGAGTCGCGGTGGATCCTTTCTGTCGTCTTCCTGGGGCCTCTGCTCCTCTGAACTCTTATTATTGCAGATAACACCACAGGATCCCTGGAACTCTTAGCTTTGAGAAAGCCTCTAAGGTGTCCAAAACAAGGTTTAACACATTGAAACAGCCTTGTACACGGGGCTTTGAGGCTGATCTGCCTGGGTACAACACACCTCCCAGCTTGCTGTTTTGAAACCTCATCCCTTTGATGTCACGTTTCCCCATCACATCCTTGGTATCTTGGTCGTTCTTTATGGACCGCAGCAGTCAATGCCTGCCTGCTCAGCAGAGTGACAGAAATACATCTGACTTCCAGCAGAGCTCCCCAGGGCAGTCAGCATAGTGTCATGTGTTGTTTCTGACGGGTCCTACAAACAGCCCCAGTGAGCTGGGGCCACTGGGGAGCCAAGGGCGTGGGGCTGAGTCTGGATTAAAAGCAGAAGCCTTGGCCCAGAGGAGGGACTCCAGGCTCCAGGTCATTTGGGTGACACTGTTGTGGCCACCAGTGAGTTTGACCAGCAACAAGTCACTTCCCTCCATGAATGTTCAGTTTCCACCTGTACAGACAATGGGATGGATCACGTGATTCCAAAGAGACTTTGGAGTCTAAATTCTGAGTATGTAAACCAAGCCCCACAGGAAATGACAGTCCACGAGACAAGAGAAAATAGGCCCATGGTTAACCTGTCAGTGCAGTGGCATTGTACCAGCCCTTTTCCACCAATATAGACAAGGGTGTGCATTTCATAGGATGCTCACCAGCACGGAGTATTGTAGGGTTTTTTTCTTTAAGTTTGCTAATATGCTATGCCTTTAATTGGTATTACTTGGATAATGAAATTGAGTCTTGAATTTTGAGAGAAAATATCAGGAAACAAACGAATAGCCTAAGCAAGCTTTATAGTGCAACCGGGAGTGGTGGTGCACACCTGTAATCCTAGCACTCGGGAAGCTGAGGCAAGAGGATCGCCATGAGTTTGAGGCCAGCCTGGGCTATGTAAGTGAGTTCAAGGCCAGCCTGCACTACATATCGAGACTCTGTCGCAAACAAACCAAAAAAAAAAAAAAAAAAAGAAAGAAAGAAAAAAGCTTTATGGTACAGTAATTCTTTCTGTTTCTAGTTCCTCCTCTGTACCTGAGACCCGGAAACTGAAGGATTTACCAAGGTCACAATGGAGGGGGTACCTTGTACTTCTAATGGTTTTACATTTGCAGCCTGCTTTAAGAGTAAGTGGCTATTGAAGTTCTGTCAGGGAAGGTTGCTGTGTAGGAAATTTTAGCTTCTGTTACAGCATAAACTTGAAATAAACACCTGCTCTTTAAACAATTTTACAATCAAAGTTTTTCCTTCAAATCTCTGTGGTGCTAAAATTAGTGGGATTTGCTGTGCTTTTATATATAAATGAAACCTCCAAAGGGAATCCAGGCACTTACTTCTTGGCAGTGATCATCAACTTAAACACCCCTGTGTGTGAATTGTCCAGGTGGGGACGCCCTGCTTTCTTTTGGCATGCCAGGGTCCTCTCTTAATTCTGCTGACCTGGAGCCGGGAGGGCCCTCGCCCTGCCTAGGCCTCACAAAGGCACCGCATGGTAGGTGGAGCTCACCCCTGAGCCCATCTCCAAAAGCTGGCAGTATGGCTCCTGCCTGGCTCGTCTGTTTTATTGATCTGCATAACATTTTGTAAGCTGCTGCTGTTAACACTGGTCCTAGGGCCAACACTCGGATTTGAGCCTTTTGTGAGCTGGAAACCATATGTGCCCAGGAGCCCTGCCCTCCTGCCGGGTGTCCCCGCTTCCCTGAGTCTTCTAGGATTCCTGGCCTACCCTCAGGAATTAGTACCCTAATTCCTAAAGGGTCACGCGTTGGCAGGGTTGGGTCAGGCCTGTGCCTCAGTCAGGCCATGGGATGTGAACATCAAATTGGATGCTGGCGTGCCACCTGACCTTGAAGTCCAGCCGTGCTGCTGACTGACTTCAAACCTGAGACCTGGGTGGCTGTGAGCCTGCAAACTACATCTCTCTGGGTGTGTGAAATCCACACGCTCTAGATATCCTGAAGCATTATATCTCTCTGAGTGTGTGAAATCCACATGCTCCAGATATCCCGCAAATGCTGAGTTTCAAAGTGTGAGACATGCTTGTGACAGCTCTTACCAATGTCTCTATGCCTTTGTGGAATTTCATAAACAGTGATAAATATAAATGTTTCTGCCCCTTGGTACACTAAAGTGTGTGTGTGTGGTGGTGGTGGTGGTACTGGAGACTGAACTCAGGCCTTTGTACTAAGCTGCATTCCTAGCCCTTTTCTGTTTTGAGACAGTCTCACTCAGTCACTGAATTTGCCCAGGCTGGGCTCACATTGTGATTCTCCTGCTTCAGCCTCCCAGAGTGCTGGCATTACAGGCATGTGTCACCGTGTCCACCTTATATTAAGGTTTTGATTGAGAAAGATTTGAAAAAAAATTAAATTCCAAATGAATACATTTTGAAACAACAGCCTGTCTTCACCCCACCTCTTCTCCAGAGATCGGGAGAGCTTGTTTTTGTGGTTGGAGAGGTCAGAGGACTATGTAAGTTTGGCGAGTGCTTGTCCCTCATGGTGAGTACTCTGAATGTCCCTGAAGCTACTCTCTCTGAGAAAGCCACTAACTCAAGGCCAAGTTTACAAATATCTAGAACACCTGGGTGTAGTGGTGCACATCTGTAATCCCAGCACTCAGGAGGCTGAAGCAGGAGGATTGCTGAGAGTTTAAGGCTAGTGTGGGCTTTAAACAGTGAGTTTAAAGCCAACCTGGACTACATAGCAAGACACTGTTTCAAAAAAAATTCTAGAGCAACACACATGGTGGGATCCATTTATAGTTCCAGCTACTTGGGAAGCTGAGGTGGAAGGGTCACTTGAGCCCAGGAGAGTAGACTGGACAACATTCAGTGCAAATTCAGGAATCCGGCTGACTACATTTCATTAGTCCTCAAACACTTCCTGTGTGGCCTGCACAAGTGGTTTGGTCTCTCTAATGCCTGTTTCCCCACATATAAAATAAGGATCATGTTATCACCCATTTGAGAGTGTTAAATGAAACAACACTGTATGTAGGAGGCTTTGTGCCTTCTCAGTAACTGTGTGGATATTATCAGGTCTTTTTGCACAGTACTCAATTTGGGGACATCTTTGAGTCATGTATCTGTTCTGGGATTCCACAGCATCACAGAAATGTAGAAACTTAGGCAAAGTTAAAACTAGTAATGACATCAATTAAAGGTTTAGAATTTAGCTTGCTAATCAGTTTCCTTTTTACATATATAGAAAACAGATTTATTTATTTATTTATTTATTTTTGGTTTTTCTCTGGTACCGGGAACCAAACTCATGACCTTGTGCTTGCCAGGCAGGTGCTTTGCCGCTGAGCTAAATCCCCAGCCCCGAAAACAGATTTAAAGAATAGCTTCCCTTCTCACTCTTATGAAGATGGTAATATTGTAGTGGATTTTTGATACTGGAGTCTTTCCCTCTATCCCTGGAAATAGTCACAGGTTACATTTGACCAGTCAGGACTCTTAGAAACTAAGAAATAATTTAGAACCAACTAGATCATTGCTACCGCAGTGGGGAGCTGCAGACAGCCAAGTGGGTCTCCTCCCTGTGCCCTCGTCCCCCTAGGTGAAGGGTCATGCATTGGCAGGGTTGGGTCAGGGCTATGCCCAGTCACCTCAGGGCCTTGGGGGCTCACACAGGTAAGTGCGACACCGCGATGACTGTAGGCTCTCCGTGCCAGCAACTGCAGACACATTGTCCCCACTCGTAGGCTGGGTGAATGAGCCACACAGTCACCCAGAACTCGCGGGAGTGGCGGGGTGTGCTCCTGTGTTTATTGTCAGTGGAACCTCAAACAAGAATGGCTGTGCTGAGCAGGATCGCTCCCAGAAAGTCTGCAAGAGGCCTGACCTCTTTCACCAGGGAGAAACAGGTCTATAAATTTCAAACCTTGTATAGTCTGTATTAGCAAAAGAATAAAATGCCATTTGTTTCTTCTTTTCTTGGGGGTAGTATTTCTAAGTTGTTAAATACTTAAAACATGAGTAACTCCAGGAAGGTTTCCAGCTTCTTGTTTGTGACATGCTGACCTTCCTTTCTTTCCCTTCTCCCCAGATACTTGCTGGAGCAGGACTTCCCAGGCATGAGGATTGGTCCAGAGCCCACCACTGATTCCTTTATTGCCGTAATGTATGGAGAGACGGAGGGCAGCACGCCTGGAAATGCTTTAGTCGTGGACCCCAAAAAGCCGTTCCGAAAGCTTAGTCGTTTTGGAAATGCTTTTCTGAATCGGTAAGGACCAGCCAACTGCCGATCTTTGGTCAGAGTGTTTTAACCTTTTCTCCAAATTATTGCCACTTACATGTAAAGATTCAAAACAGAAAAACATAGAGGGTCTAGAGAAGTCATAGAAGACGTACTAATCCTAGTCAGACATTTGAAGCAGACTGTCATAGGCCATGATCATTTATACCTATGCTTGGCGGCCCCATTGGGCAGAGCAAACCCAGGACCAGACATTATAAGGCTGCAGAGTATAACAAACAAGATCTACTGTTCTGACCACCTGCCTCTTCTTTGCTACCCATACCCTTTCCCCCTCTCTCTTTTCTTCTCCCTCTCTCCCTGTTTCTGTCTATTTTTGGTACTGGGGGTTAATCTCCAGTAGCAAGTGCTGTATTGCTGAGTTACATCCCCAGCATTTTAAAAAAAATTTATTTTGCAACAAGATCTGGCTGTGTTGTTCAGGCTGGTCTGGAACTTTCAATCTTCCTGCCTCAGCCTCCCAAGTAGCTGGGATTATAGGTGTACATCACCATGCCTGGCTTCTTTCTTTCTTTCTTTCTTTCTTTCTTTCTTTCTTTCTTTCTTTCTTTCTTTTTCTCTTTTGAGAAGTGTCTATTGAGATAATTTGCCCATTCTTAAATTTTACTTGTGTTTGTTGTTAAGTTTTTAAGTTCTTTATATAATGTGGATATTAGTACCCTGGCAAAGGCTTTCTTACATTCTATAGGTTGTCTCTTCACTCTGTTGATTGCTTTGGTGTGCAAAGTTCTCGTTGGATGTAATCCCATTTGTCAGTTTTTGCTTTTGTTTTCTGTGCTTTGGGGTCCTATTTAGAAATCATGTCCACAGATTGGAAGGATTAATATGTTCAAGATTTTAAAATTACCTACGATTGGTATGGTAGCACAGGTCTGTAATCTCAGCACTTTGGGAGGCAGACAGGAGGATCTCAGGTTCAAGTGCACTCTGGGCATTTTAGCAAGTTATAGAGAGAGACTTTGTCTCAAACTAAAAAATAAAAAGCACTGGGAATGCAGCTCAGTGTGAAGGCCCTAGGTTCAATCTTCAGTACTGGGTAGAAAAAAATAAAATATTTTTTTGTGTGTGTGTGGTACTAGAGTTTGAACCTAGGTCTCATACATGCTAGACAAATATTCTACCACTGAGCTACATCCAGACCCCTTTTTATTTTTCGTCTTGAGACAGAGTCTCACTGAGTCGCCTGGGCTGCCCTTGAACTTAACAGTCCTTCTCAGCCTCCCAGGTAGCTGGGATTACAGGCATGTGCTACCATTTCTTGCTCCATACTTTCTCTTTAAAATCCTCTTCTCCTCTCTCCTATCACCACCACATACACACTCCTCCATTTCCCTCTTTTGAGGGTCTGGCTTTAGAGACGGGAGCTGGTTATAGGAGGGGCAGAGCTGGGGAGCACCGAGGGAGGAAGTTGGGTTGGTGTTGATGGGCAGCAGGGAGCTTGAGCTGTACTTCTCCTTTCTAGATGTTTCTAAAAATAGTAAGACCTCCCTGCTGACTGCCACCACCCTGAGGCCGAGGGGCCCATCCGTCACCCAAGGGCCACCCAGAGGACCTTGCAAGGACCATGTCCCGAGGCTGTGCCTCAGCTCTGCCCAGGGCGCCCCAGCGCCCTCCACTGGTGCCTTCTGTGAAAACCTGAACTCTCGGGGTGTCTTTCTCCTTCACGGGCTTTCTCATTCTGTTGCCGCAAAGAGAGCATCCAAGTGGTAGCGGGACCTTGGCAGTGGGACAAGCAGAAGCATGCATGTGATGTTCATGACATCACAATCTGTCTCGTTATGCTGCGGGTAGGGCAGGATTCTCTCTAGGAGGAGCTCTCTCCTTAGCTCCAGAGCAGCTAAGCTCGGCAACTTCTTGTAGGAGAAGCAGAAGTTGAGCCCATGGTGAGAGACCCCAAAGAATCAACAGCCCAGGTCCCTCAGGATGGGTGGGCCCACGCTGAGGGGAAGTGAAACAGAAGCTCCCTGGTCAGGCCCTCTCTGGGATCCCTGGACATAGCGCAGGCAGTGGCCAGACTTCCTGTCCCAGCACAGCCCTGGAAGGCTCCGGAGGCTCTGTTCCCCGGCAAGGTGCTCTGGAGTCCTGTGGTTTCACCACCACCACCTTCTCTTATCCTTCTTTTGCCTGACCAAGGTATAAAAGAGAAATAAGCTGCCACCTTTTTCAGATGCTCATTTTGTGAAATCCATATTCACATGGGAAAAAGCAGGAAGAGTGATTATTGGCTTGTCTTATTTGGGCAAGTGATTTACTTTCCTAATAAAAACAACTTGTTTTTCAAATTTTGAACACACAGTAGATAAGTATGAAAGAGAAGTACTTAGGAAAGATTTTGGGGTTTTTGTTTGTGGCTTTGTGGAGGGTTTTTTTTTGTGTGTTTTGGTTGTGGTTTTTTTTTTAGTCGGGGTCTCACTCTATAGTGCAGGCTGGCCTTGAACTCAGTTATGTATCCCAGGCTAGCCTTAGTTCATGGCAATCCACCTGCCTCGGCCTCCCAAGTTCTGGGATTACAGGCATGTACCACCACACCCAGCAACAGGGAAGATTTTGAATGGCAAGTTTATTATCTCAGAATTTAGAAGGTACTGAAAATAATCTAAGTATTATATAATCAAGTGCTAATTGAGTTCAGAGTAATATATATATAGAAAAATAATAGCAAATAATTAATGGCATTTACCATCCAAACTTTCCTTATACATTAAGCTCAAAACCCTGGAGTATATTGGCTTTGTATTCTCATAAAACTGCGTGATGTGTCTACTACCATTGTTTCCTAGGAAGAAAGAAAGACTTAAATTATAGAGAGGTGACTTTAACTTCCATGGTGTCACTCGGCCAGAACATGGCAGTGCTGAGATTGGAACTCAGGCCCCCTGGCCAGTCCTGCCGGAAACCACACTGCTGAGCTGCCCACATGGTGTGACATCTAGATGGAGTCCTTGCCCATTTACCTTTAAGACAGTTCATAGAATACTCCCAAACGAAGATGAGGAGGAGGTGGTAGTGAATACACCTTGAGGTATACAGTTTCATGTGTACTGTGCTTCTGGGGTAAACAAGTAATATGATTGCCACGCATAGATAAGAAAACTAGCAGCAAAAAAGGGCCTCACTCCAGAAGAGGCCCTCAGGAAGAGGCAGAAACAGGGGATTCAAGTTCCCAAGGATGAATGTCTGTCCTTCAAGGCTCACAAGTGAAGAAAGTGTTTTGTGGAAATCCACAGCGCACTGTGGCCACATCCCGGTCACCATAGGACGGCCACTCCAGGACAGCCCTGTGGCTCCTCATGACACTGAAGGAAGAGTGTCAACGTGTGCCTAGTGGAGGCACCCACACCTGGGACCAGTGATAGCCCTCTGGGAATGCCAGCAGGGTTAGTTCCAAAGGTGGGAACCTGTTTTTACACGGCATACTTTTCCGAGAACTAGGTCAAAATATAATAGTTAACAGGGAAAAAAATGGTTGTTTTCTTTGGAAAACTTTCCTCCCCAGGTCATGGTGACGTGTCTCCCTCATCACAGGGTGTCGGCTTGAGCATCTGTCCCTGGGGACATCCTGAAAGAGTCAAATTGTGGAAGGTGACGCTACCTCCAGCATGAAGCAAACCAGTGGGGCCCAAGTCTCAATATACAAGTCTAGTTTTTTAGTTTTTAAAAAAATAATTGTTTTTACTTTTTAAAAAAAAAAAGACCCAGGCATTAATAATACATATTTACATCTTAAAAGATGACCCAGTTCAGTAAGAACAGGTGTTAAGTGCTCACCAGCAGTGAAGCCACTTATTAAGTATTAATCATTTTATGAAGTCATATCTGTATAAAAATAAGCATAAGCATTTAAGATAATAACTAGATATAACTATAGTTAATAAGTGGCAAACATGATTATAAATAAATACCAAACCCTAGCCAAGAATTTGTGTGTAATTTACTAGCTGAGAATTTCCACACAAAATAAAGTCCAAATCCCAGACTTGCAGGATACCAAGTTAATACACATCTTCCCTTAGCAGAGGCCTATCTAACCTCAGTAATATTTCTGAAGCATAAGGTTGTACATTTTTAAAAGATTGGCCTAGTTGTTTCCCCTCTCATCTTAATTCTTTTTTCTTTGCAATGTTAGCAGAAGAATTTTTCATTTGTCTCTTCCTTCTGCTTCTCTCCAGTATTAGCCTTGTCTGTACAGTGGTTGTGTTCAGTACCATGTCATCTCCTAGGGACTAGCTGTTACACAGCAGTGTTGCCTGCCTTCCTTCCAAGGCCAATTGTTTATTTTTCTCAATTCTTCATTGTTGCTCTTTGTTAGACTTCTACTTGCCTCAGAAGCAAACTTCTCACTTTCAGAGGAGTTTGTCAAAAGGGATCTAATTTAGCAGCTGTTATATCAAGGCCATTATTTCCCCCTACTCCATCTACATTATTACTAACAAAATCTTCATGTGAAGTAGGGAGATCAAGTTGATTGTTTGTTTTGTTTGCTTACTTGCTTACTTGTTTGTTTGTGACAGGCTCTTGCTATGTAGTTCAGGGTGGTGTTGAACTGACTATGTAGCCCAGGCTGGCCTTGAACTCATGGCAATCCTCATATCTCAGCCTCCTGAGTGCTGGGATTATAGACATGTACTATCACATTTGTCTTGAATTTGTTTTAAACAGGCCTGAACTTCCTTTTTATTTCCCAGATAGTCAGCTCTCAATGAAATTGTAGTTTGGGAAATAGTCTGTGTGCCAGGCTGCATGTGTCTGATTAGCATCTTCAAGTCTTCAGCCTTTGACTTTTACCTTGGAATTTTATCTTGTCAAGTGCTTGCCTTAATACTGGAAGGAAGCCCTCTCTCTGAAATTAATCTCTGAGCATCCAGCTTGGATATATTCCTTTTAACTGTTTTCTTTGGAGATACAGGAACAGGTTCTCTGCTTCCTGACTCTAGTGAAATATACCAAGATTTAGTATTAAATAATTTAAGCCTTATTTATAAAATGTATCACTTCTACATGGATAGATGGATAGCTGAAGCATGGATAGTTTTTATGAAACTCAATGCAAATCTTCATGAGGTTCAGCTCCTTTGCCATCTCTCTGTGGAGAGATGAGATGGAAAGGAGGAAAAGTTTCATCTTCTCCATGTTCAGAATTGGGGAGGTCAGGGCCAGGTAGATAGTTCACGGCAGAGCACCTGCCTGGCAAGGCGTAAAGTCCTGAGTTTGATTCCTGGTACCAAACAAAAACAAAAACAAGCCATTCTGTCATGGTTCTAATGTATTTTCACTAATGTGGACTGCAGTAGCCGCAGTGCAACACTCAGTGTGGAGAGCAAACCATACCTCTCACGAGACTCTTCCAAGCCTAGTTTTGAAGAGACTGCCCCAGCCCTCCACACCATGAGGAAAAGAGCACATCGTACCAGGAAGCCCTGTGGGGGCAGCTCCAAGGCTGTGGCCCATTGCTCCTTCCATCTCCCTGTGTGTGCTAAAGGGACACAGCCATGGTTCATGCCATGGTAAGAGTAGCCGGGTAGTTAGGACCCTGGTGTCCACAGGCAGAACTGCCAGGCTAACAGCATCCCAGCTCCATCACTTGTTACCCGTGGACCCTCTGGGTCTCCATCTCCTCCTTTATAAGATGACAAGCGCAACCTGCTCGGGTTGAGTTTGTGTGTGCAGAAAGTGCTTAGAGCAGCCTGACAGGAGGGAAGAGGCGGGCAAACGCTGATGCTGTTCTATTAGCACTGCAGCTACTGCAGACATCACTGTTTCATTAAGAAATCAAAATCAGTGTGAAGATACTGGCTGGTTCTTTTGCAAGTCTAGTTTTATGAACGTTGAGCACTAACTTGGAATTTTGGCATTTGAAGGAAAATTTAAGTAATCTAATCTTGCACCCCCTCCTTTTACTGTGAGACAGGCCTCCTGCAGCCTGCCCAGGATCTCACAGCCCCTGCCATCACTCCATCCCCCACCTGCCTGTGTTCCGACCTCTCCTGGACGTGCAGACGCCATCTTGCCTGCTTTGGGGCATTCAGGCTCCTCTTTTGGCCGCCATCCTAGCCCTTGACCTGCTCCCCGGTGTGTGGTGCGGTGCCGTGAGCTCATCCTGCTGCCTCTTGCTTTCTGGCCCGCACATCAGAGTGCGAGCCCGGGGCAGGATCTTGGTTGCTCCCTCTGCTTCTTTTACTTTGAAAACAAAACTCTGGGGAAAGATATCCATGGAAGCTAAGCAGGACTCTGGGTCTAAGCAGCGCACGTCTGCATACTTCATATGACACGGAGAAGGCCAGGCACATACTCCTTGTGTTAGTCCCTCAGGAAGGAGCAGGAAATCCACATCTCTGCTTGGAAATGTCTTGGCAGAAATGCTGGAGCAAGGGCTGTGCCAACCATGGTGGACATAAGAAATCACCTGGCTCTGTTGTCCCTTCTCAAGGAAAGGAAAGGCACAGTTGCCATAGTGGCATCTGGCATTTTCTGATTACAGTAGCATGTGCCTTTAAGAGCACATCTGTACATGGTTGTTTTTTTTTTTTTTTTTTTGAGACAGGGTCTCGCTATGCAGTTCAGGCTGGCCTTCAGCTCGCTTTGTAGCCCAGGCTGATCTCGGATTCACAGCAGTCCTCCTGCCTCAGCCTCCCGAGTGCTGGGATTATAAGCATGCACCACCATGCCCAGCTCTGAACATGGTTCTGAGCTGTGCTTCCTCACCCCTGCCCACCCTCTGCCCTGGGTACTTTCTTGTGTGGAGTGGAGTCCAGCTTCGACAAAACCTGAGCCACCCCTTGGAGCGTTCAGGCTTCTCTTTTGGCTGCCATCCTAGCCCTCGACCTGCTCCGCAGTGTGTGACATAGTGACTCGAGCTCATCCTGCTGCTCTTGCTTTCTGGCCTTTGCTGCTGTGTCAGGAAGCCTGGGAGCCGATGAAATGCTGTCACTTTACACATAGAGAGTGAAAGGTGTGCGTGTTTTGGACACCTCTGTTCCCCATGTCAGAATGTAGGGTTTGTGTTTTGGAAAGGTTGATACTGAGTGTGAGCTTGTAGTTTTGGGGAAAGATCACCCGCCCCAATACTTGCAAGCAGCTGTAATGTGCCCAGCATTGCCATGGGTCTCAGGCCATCTGCTAGAAAGAAATAGGTCTGACTCGGATGTGCTTACAACCCTGCTTCTCCCCTGATTCTAGAGAAGACGGTAGTGTGGTTTTTTCTCTGTGAACTAGATCCTTTATTTTACCATTATAAGGTTTTTTTTTTTTTTTTACAGTTTATTATTTTGGTTTTTTGAGATAGGATCTCACTGTATACCTCAGGCTGGCCTTGAACTGGTAGTGATCTTCCTGCCTCAGCATCTCAAGTGCTGGGATTACAGGCCTGTGCCACTCACCCAGTTCATTATGAGGTTTTTAGCTTAATGGGTTGAGTTCTACTCACCCGACATCAGAAATGTCAGGCCACAGCCTCCAGGCAGCCAGGCACTAGCATATGACCTTGGTGTCATAACTGTCTTGTGCTTTGACTTTTCTACCTACGAAAGGGTCAGTCATGGTATCTTCTCCTCCGTATTCCTGGCCTGATTTGAAAGTATCAGAAAGAAGAGTGAAAACTTGTCCTGAACACATAAGAGAAAGTGATCTTGATTTGTCAGTAGTAGTATCTCAGGCTCTGGCCACCCTTCCCTGCCTGTGGGACAGTGCTGGCCACAGGCACTGAGGGGGCTGGGCGGCCTCCCTGTCCCGAATTCCCAGCATACTTACTTTCTGAGTAATCCCTCCACTTCCCCTGAATGGAAGAACTGAGCTGTGCTTGAGGATTTTCAAGCTCTCTGCCCACGTAGTGACAGAAGTTAGCACTTATAAAACAGGAAAAGGAGAGTCACTCTAGGTTCCTCCATCAGACACAGGGCCTAGCAAAGATCCAGCCCAGGCTGTGCTGCCCAGGGGGCAGGAACAGAGCGCTTCCTGCTGGTAGATAGAGTTCACAGGGCAAAGCCACAGAGGACATCGCCAGGGTCTGGTCCAGGTGTCTCCTTTTACACATGAGGAAATGGGCTCAGAGGAGGACGTCCTTGTCCGGGGTCCCACAGAAAATTATGGCAGGGCTGAGTGAAACCCGAGCCTAGGTCTGCTGGCCCGTGGACTGGTGTTTTCTCACTACCTTCTCCGCTTTCATGGAGCAGACATTGGGCAGCTGACTGAGACCAGAGGAGAAAGGACCAGGGTCAGAAGGAAGAGGTGACACTGGGCAAGTGAGGGATGAGGAGCTCAGCCGGGCCTCCCACAGTCTGGACCTTTTGCCTGTTCTCAGGTCATCACTAAAACTCCAGAGCACCAAGAGATTCGGGCTGTTCCTGAAGGAGCCCGTTCCTTGCTGACGTAAAGCCACAGGGTTGCTGAGCTGAGTACTAAGCCTAGGGCATAGGACAGAAAAATGGGCCCCAGTACCTCAGCTCTCCAACTGAGCCCCGGGCAGGACAAAGCAGGAACCTTGGGGCACTCCTCTCAGAGGGTCAGTGCACCCTGAGGAAGCATGCGCCTCCCTGCAGTGAAAGCCCAGACTCGTGAGCAGGGAGCAGCAGGAGGCTGTGGCCCTGCGGTCAAGTTGATCTAGGCTTCAAACCCGGCTCTGAGTAACTCTGAGCTACTTACAGAGCCTCTCTGAGGCTGACAGTAGGTTGACAATCAAGGATTGGATAAATGTCACCTACACTCAGAATAATCAGTAAGGAATCAGGTGGCCGGAGCAGCAGGTTCCAGCTCCCCTCCCACGCCTGTTCCATGGTGCGATGTCTATTCTGTGGCACCAGTGGAGTTGCCAGGCATCTCCTCCAAGCCTCTGCCCAATGGGCAGCTTCATAGGCATCTCTAGTCTCTGTTGGCCTCTTCCGCACTCCCCCTTTGTGGACATCAGCGAACCCAAGGTGAGCCCAGTTTCTGACTCTGCCTTCCACCTGTCTCTTCCAGGTTCATGTGCTCCCAGCTGCCCAATCAGGTCCTGAAGAGCATCAGCATCATCGACAGCCCTGGCATCCTGTCTGGGGAGAAGCAGCGCATCAGCCGCGGTGAGTGCCCTACCTGCTGCCACCCGCCTCCCCACAGCTCACGGGGGCCCTGTCTGATGTGAGCAGAGGATTTCTACCCCTGCCATATTCTTTCCATCCTCTAGGACAGCACTGCCCAAGATACCCCTTCATGGCCCTGAGCAACTAAGGGGACCCCCAAAAAACAACCACAGGGCCAAAGAGTCACAGGTACTGCAATGTCAGCTGAGCAGCTAGCTTTGCTAAGTCCACACATTTAAGAGAGGAAATATCCCTTGTTAACTGTCATTTAGCCACATGTGATAACTAGAAGTGGTAACCTGGTCACAGGCGTCAGAGAGTCCTATGTAGCTGCTCCTCTCTCTATCCTGCTTGTTCCATCCCGAAGCCCCTGCGGTGTCCCTCCCTTTGAGCAAGCCTGTCCTAGGAGACTGTGTGGGACTCTTGGCCAGGGATGGACACACAGAAGCAGGGGTAGTTTCTTCCCTCAAGCAGCATACATTCTCATGAGGAAGATAACTGTCAGCCAGATTGACACAGAGCCCAGTGAAAGCTGAGGACTAGGCGAACCACTGGGAGACGCGGCTGTGTGCTGTGGTGTACAGGGACCTCGCCTGGCCATAGCTGTCAAAAGAGGCTCCCCAGAGACAAGGACCTTCAGACAGAAGAATGAGTAGCGACTGCCTAGGGGGCATGATGGCGAGGGGAAAGAGGCCCGGAGGTTCAGAGATCTGGAAAGAACAGACAAGGCTCAATGATGACGTGGCTTCTCCAGCCTGCCGCAGACAAGCCTGAGCTGCTGTTGTTTCCAAACCAGGGGTGGGTTCAGCAGATGGGCCTGACACATCAGAGGGCATAGTTGACTTACCAAGAGGAAATACCTACCAGGAGGTCATTAGGTTGGCTTTCTGCAGTCACAGAGAAGGCTAAGAAGCCACCTGCGCCCTGGCCCTTGAAGGAAAGGTGCTTCCGCAAGGCCAGCTGGGAAGGATCAATGTGGCAGATGCATCGTGACTGGCACTGTACACTAATAACTCTGTACAGCCCCATGAAACCGCATTGAGAAGTGCCGGCATACCGGAGTTGAGCCCACTGCCGTAAGCATGGTTGAGCATTGAACCCCTACAGCTTATAGAGCAAAAGTGCAAATATACAGGCCATGAGAGGTGCTCCCGTGGGGACAATGACAGGGCTTCCCAGGCCGGAATTCTCTTTCCCATGGCATTTCAGGAATGCAGCTGTCTGGCCTCTGTAGACCTGCAGAGCACCCAGGGATGGCTCTGGTCCTTGTCTGATTCAGCCATGGCACTCACAGTGCTTACAAATCTTCCCAAAGCCTGGCTACTGGAGAAAAAAACCACATTCGGACTATTGTCCTCTTGTAAATAATCTTCGCTGGTTTTATTCTCTATTGTAAAAGTAATAGGCCTGGGCTGGGGATTTAGCTCAGTGGCACAGTGCCTGCCTGGCAAGCACAAGGTCATGAGTTCAATTCCCAGTACCGGAAAAAAACAAAACAAAAAGTAATAGGCCTTTGTTGTGAAAGATTCAAACAAGGAATAAATATATAAAAAAAAATCCTCACTGTCAGAAATAGCAACTCTTAGTGAGTTTCTCTGATTCCTTAGAGGCTTTTCCCTACACTCTTCCAAACATCATTTCTAAGAGAAGTATGATCACTATGAACATTTTCTACAATTTGATATTTCTCCCTAGCCATCCATCTCAGACTTCCGACAGTCCATGTCAGAATATTCAAGCTATACCGCTCAATAACTGCTTGAACTCCATGAAAGGGACATAGAGTGGTTTATGTAACTAATTTGTGGGTGTTGTGAATGTTAACATGTTTTTACTTTTACCGAGCGTTACAGACGTCACCTTCCTGAGTATATCTTTATACCTCAATGACAATAACTTTTCCCTAATTAGCCAGTTTAGGGTCACTCATTTGGTCTGAGAAAGATTGCTCTACAGATAAAATGGTTTGTTTTCAAAAGATAAACTAAGCAAGAATAGGTTCCACAACTTTTCTGAGCTGCCTCAACCTCCTAGGTCTACACATCTGGCCAAAGTGTGCTGGAAAGGATGTGGTTCTGGTCAGTCTTTTTTACTGCATAATTTTAAGGCCTCTGGATTATGGCTTCTGTCTTTCTCATTTTTCTTGGTAGGCTTTTGACCAATTCTAATCTTCCATATTCTTCAGGGTTTCCCCTTCACTTGGTAATTATAAGTGTCTTTCAGGCTGACAGGGTGAAGCCTGGCATGATGCTTCCAACACACGTTGAAGATGGGTTCTTTTCCACGCTTTTAGTACGATCTGACTCACATCCTGGTCTGCCTTATCCTAGCACATACTTACATCCTATGCACAGAAATAGCATGTGTGGTTTGCCAGTCAGCTCGTCCCTGCCTCTGTAACAGACGTAGCAGCTGGTGGGGAAAGACCATGTGCCACAGCCCACAGCAGTAGAGACCACAACCAGCGATCCCACCCTTGAGTGCCACAGGGTTTGGGGGCGTGGTTGATGGTTAGAGTCACTCAGCTGATATTTTTGCGTGTTAACCCCCGAGCCTATGTGGTGTCAGCTTGAACTATTGCAAACAATGCTAACTTCTCAAATACGCTCATATCAACATCCCTCTGGTTATAGAAGATCCCAGTTCAGCCTTCACCAGTCAGCATTGGACTGTAGAGCACATGCCAGATGTGACCCCTCTGGCTTTTAACACCGCCCCTGACTTTATTGGTGGCTCTAGCCTCCCTTACAGGTGTTTTGCTTGTGAAGGAAGAAAGGGGCAGCGGGTGTTTCATCCTCCCCTACCTTTTCCCATCTCCTTCTTGCAGTTGATGGATTAACCCTCACCACGCCCTGTAACTGATCCTGATCACCAAGTCTATCCCTCTTACACATTTAAAGAGTCTGCTTGAAGTGTGCATTGACAAGAGTATGATACTCGTCACTGCGTACAAGCCCTTGCCAGTCATTTCTGGTTTATTTTCTAATCCAGACCTGAGTAGTCAGAGCAGATAGAAGCAAGGAGACCCTGGCTCTCCACTGCACCTCCAGGAAAGCAGCTTTTCAGCGATCATGAAAATGTTTCCCAGCTGCCAGGCAGATGGGTGATCAGACTTGAGACCTACGGAGTGGACAGGGTTACAGTTATTGACAGGGTATGGTGTTTGGAGGATAAGCCCAGGCGAATGACTGCTTCCAGCAGTAGCCGAGGCTGAAGCCGTGTGGGTGCCAGCCCGCCCTCTAGCCTGTGAGAAGGCAGCAAACCCCAGGCTGAAACATTACTAGGAAGGAGGCAGGGATGCATGGAGGTGGGTGAGCATGGGGTGACTGCCCCAGGAAGACCCACTGACTCCCCCAAACCCAGTGTCTTGCATCAGCTTGGTGCCCCACATGTGGTAGGTTGGCAGTTGAACATTATGCTGGGGCCCAGGTGGGGGACAGGAGGGACCTGAACTGGGGAGCTGGCCTCAGTCACCACTGATAGCTCTCACACAGGCCGCCCAGCCCCACAGCTCTGGGGGCCAGGTGTCCTGTGCCCCGTGAGGAGTTCAGATGCCTTAGTGGTAAAAACAGAAATAGGAGCTCTAATCCCGGGGCTCAGTCATATGCCTTACCTCGCCTGGGCTCCATGGTTTCTTGTTAGCTCTCTTCCTGATGGCATCATATACCTGGTGCCTCGTATTCTGTGCTGTGTAAGGGGCAAATGTGGTTACCAGGATGCTAGGGGCCTCTGCAGCCATTCCTGTCGCCTAGTCACTGGTGCTAAGAAGAAACACTTGATGCTTCTTTGTGATACCTCATGTTCTTTGGTGTTAGGTTTGGTGGGAAGCATGGCCGACCCACTGTCACGTTAGAAGTGGCCTTCAGGGAGAGTGTGTCTCAGCACACCCTTTTCACCAGCACAACCTAGCGGGGGCCCCAGGACGAGGACGTCTGCTCCTTGGCTCCTATTGCAGTGTCTGAGCTCAGCAAGAGGGCCTGTCAGCGTTTGGGGTGGAATGACCACTGAGTCTTCTTAGGAGCTGTGGAAAGGAAACTGCTTGAGTAATCCAATGTTGTAACTGTTGTTAATGTACCGCTCTGTATGGAAACAAACTACCCGTTAGATTCTCTTTAGTTTAATTAGCAGAAAATCTTTAGGGAAAAAATACCAAGTTTTATTACCAAAGTGTAGCTTTCTTGGCTGGCATACAGGATTGAATCCCCACCAAGCAGGAATAAAAACATTATCATATTTTTACTATTTTATTCTAATCAAGTAATAGCTATGTAACAGTCCTACAGAGTTATCTTGATTCTTTTCTTGCCAATAAAAGAATATGTAGTATAATCCCAGAACTCCGGGAGGTAGAGGCAGGAGGATCACAAATTCAAGCCCATCCTGGGCAACAGAGGGACTTTTAGCAGGACTCTGTCTCAAAATGAAACAAAACAAAGCAAAACGTTTGGGGGTGTACTCAGCGTAAAGGTTCTGGGATCAATCCCCAGTAGTAGGGGAGATAAATGGATTCTTGAGGTTTGCTAAACTCTTCCTGAAGTGAGTAGTTGTGACATGAGCTGGTTCATTCTGGAAGCTCTTTGCCCCGGATGACAGCATCCAGACTGTTTGCTCTGTGTGAGGAGAAGAGAGCGCATTTACCCACGAGCACACCCTTGTTTTTCTTCCCAGTCTGTTGTCATTTGACTCCTGGGTGGTCTGCTTCCCAGATGACTTCATTCCACACAGAACCTGATTAGAACAGATACTACACTTGATCTTAGCCAAAAGGCCGAGACGACTTCATTCCACACAGAACCCTGCCTGGCAAGCGCAAGGTCGTGAGTTCGGTTCCCGGTACCAGAGAAAAAGCCAAAAACCAAACAAACAAACAAACAAACAAACATTCCACACAGAACCTAAGTGTAAGCTGGGGTTGCTTTCCAATTGTGGCGTGAACACCAGTGTGTTCCCTGCTATGTGGGACCAGGCTGTGGTTTCTGGTTCCAGTCCCAGAGTCCCCA